GGTTTCCTGTATTATTATTAGCCTGTGCTATTTTCGGAAGTTAGCAGTTTAGCCTAAACTACTAACGGCCTATCGGTTAGGCACTTTAACCTTTAATTTATAACTTAGTACTGCCTTGTTTTTATTCTTAAACCTTTAAATCTAAGCTTAGAAAATGTATAAATTAAGTTAGGTATATAGGGCCTGGATAATCTATCTTATTTACTACTAAATAGATTTAAACTAGTATAGTTTCTTTTATTAAACTGTAGCTAACTATTATGTCTTGCTTATAGTAAGTAGACCTCTTAACTAGGCAAATTCTATTAGTTTTACTAACTGGCCTACCTGGTAACGCTATATAAATTATTAATTTATTAACACCTAATAAGTTAGACTGTTTACGGCTTATATCTTAGGATTGTATTAAAAATGTCTTGATTTACACCTAAGCCACCTCTATAATAATTAATAATTAAAAGTAACTGTATCAATCCACGAACTTGAGCTTGCACAGTAAGCACCAATCCTAATGCGTGGATGACCGGTGTCAATCTGAGTTTGCGTGTAGGTACACTTAGCTGTAAGCTTTGTCCATTCGCCCACTGTGATAGTGTCGGTCTTTCCACCAGCACTTCCTGAGTCATGGCGACAAATAACAAACGTATAAGTGCATCCACTTCCACCCCGGACCCAGGCCGATGCGGAATAACTATGACTAGCTTCAATAGGCGATGAAAGTGTCTGTTCAATGTACTTGTTGCCCGTAGATGAGATATAGTCTATGCGTGCAGAGTATCTGCCATCATGTACAATACTGCTATCAAGGGACAGGGGACCAGTGCCGGGATTATAGAGAGACCAAGGCTGTGTGGTGTCAGGCTGATCGTCAAATCCAGCATTGACAAGGAATGTGGGAGCAGAAGGGCTAGTTGTAGTTGAGCTTGCAGTTGAGCTTGCTATTGACTCTATAGTTGAGCTTGTCGTTGAGCTTGCAGTTGAGCTTGCAGTTGAGCTTGCTATTGACTCTATAGTTGAGCTTGTCGTTGAGCTTGCAGTTGAGCTTGCAGCTAAGCTTGCAGTTGAGCTTGAGCTTGCAGTTAAGGTTGCAGTTGAGCTTGAGCTTGCAGTTAAGCTTGAGCTTGCAGTTGAGCTTGCAGTTGACTCTATAGTTGAGCTTGTCGTTGAGCTTGTCGTTGAGCTTGTCGTTGAGCTTGTCGTTGAGCTTGTCGTTGAGCTTGTCGTTGAGCTTGTCGTTGAGCTTGTCGTTGAGCTTGTCGTTGAGCTTGTCGTTGAGCTTGTCGTTGAGCTTGTCGTTGAGCTTGTCGTTGAGCTTGTCGTTGAGCTTGTCGTTGAGCTTGTCGTTGAGCTTGTCGTTGAGCTTGTCGTTGAGCTTGTCGTTGAGCTTGTCGTTGAGCTTGTCGTTGAGCTTGTCGTTGAGCTTGTCGTTGAGCTTGTCGTTGAGCTTGTCGTTGAGCTTGTCGTTGAGCTTGTCGTTGAGCTTGTCGTTGAGCTTGTCGTTGAGCTTGTCGTTGAGCTTGTCGTTGAGCTTGTCGTTGAGCTTGTCGTTGAGCTTGTCGTTGAGCTTGTCGTTGAGCTTGTCGTTGAGCTTGTCGTTGAGCTTGTCGTTGAGCTTGTCGTTGAGCTTGTCGTTGAGCTTGTCGTTGAGCTTGTCGTTGAGCTTGTCGTTGAGCTTGTCGTTGAGCTTGTCGTTGAGCTTGTCGTTGAGCTTGTCGTTGAGCTTGTAGTTGAGCTTGTCGTTGAGCTTGTCGTTGAGCTTGCAGTTAAGCTTGCAGTTGAGCTTGAGCTTGCAGTTGAGCTTGCAGTTAACTCTATAGTTAAGCTTGTTGAGTCTGTAACTAAGCTTGTTAATAGCTCTGTTGACTCTGTTGTTGACTTTGTAGTTGAGCTTATTGAGTCTATAGTTAACTCTGTAGACAACTCTGTAGTTAACCTTTTAGTGGTATAAGCTGACGTTGACGTCGAAATTGAGCTTGTCGTAGTATCAGTCGTTGAGCTCCCAGTGTTATCAGTTGAAGCTAAACTCGAGCTTGAGCTTGAACTTGTAGTTAATGGTGAAACTGAGTTCCTGGTGGTATCACTCGTGATCGAACTTCTGGTGTCAGTAGTTGAAGGTGAAATTGAGCATGAGCTTCCTGGTAGATCGATTGTGGTTGAGCTTGTAGTCACATTAATCGAGATAGATGTAGGAGCGGAGCTTATAGCGATTTCGGTTGTAGTTGGAATTGAAACAGAACTTGTAGTCTTATCGATTGGTAGCAAAGTCGAAGCAGAGCTTATAGTTGTATCAGGTTTGGCTGGGCTGGTAGTTGCAATACTGGAAGCTAAGCTTGTATTTGAGCTGACAGTAACATCAATTGACACTGAGATTGTAGTTGAGCTTAAACTTGAAGTGACAGTTATGCTTGTAGTGGTAGTCGTTGTGGCGGGTAGTATAGTTGAAGTTAAAGTGGTCTTAGCAGTGTTTAAGGCCAGAGAACCTGTATTTGTAGTTGTGTGGAGATCACTTGTAATTATCGTGTTAGTAGTAAAGCTTGATATTTCCTTAGAAATTATCTCGGTATCTGTTTTGCTGGAAAGAATAGATGTAGAGTCCTGAGATGTGTCTGTAGAGCTGGAAAAAGAAATATTAAATGTTTCTGTCCCTATTGCTGCAGAAGTAGATGGGATGGTCGGATCGCTGCTGATAGTGGGCGATAAACTGGGTCCTATTATTTGGCCATTTTGACATTGCTCCTCTAGATGGACGGTTAGCCAGACTCAGATACCTAATGTATGCAGTGAAAGTTTACCGTTATAGATGCGTAGGGATACTGGGTTACACCCAAATGGGCCAGATGTAAACGTTACATATACTTGCCCATCGAACGGATCCTCACAGAACCCTGCCTCGCCGTTAGGTAAGGCTCTGTTAATGAACCGGAGGTATTCTCCCACTCTAGTGAATGCTGTCGTAATAGCACCCTCTGGCAGAGTTCCATTTCTTCCCTCCAGCTCCTTGAATGCCTCGCCTCTATAGTAAAGAGGGCTGCCTTGGTATAGAAGCTGCCCAGCTACCAGACTAAAAGTAGTAGCGTTTGTACAAACATCAACACTGCCGGACTCGCCAACAAAGGACCCTGCGGTTCTTTCGAGTAGATCACGCTTTTGGTTTGGGGGTGATATAAATAAGATAACAGAACCGCCGGATGTTTGGGCTCTAGAACTAGTTGATGTGTGGGTGGAGGATAGTATAGAACTGCCTGCTGTTGTAGTTACTATAGAGCCTTGAGCCGTACTTGGAGCGGTGGTTGAAGTAGTTGAAGTGGCAGAGATTGTAGTACTGCCTGTTGATGTAGTTACTGCAGAACCTTGAGTTGTGCTTGGAGTGGTGGTTGGGGTAGTTGAAGTGGTAGAGATTGTATTACTACCTGATATCATTGTACCAGAGCCTTGCATTGTGGTTAAGGTAGCAGTCAATGCTTCCAAGTTTGTGGAGCTTAATGAGGAAAATAATCCTATGCTAGAGCTACTGACCCCGATGGCTATGGAAGACATAGCAGTGGGACCTGTATTAAATGCTGTTGAAATAGCTCTTGTGCTATCCACAGGTATAATGTAATTCGAAACGGGGACCAGGAAAGTCGAAATGTATATATAGCACCATGTCTCATCAACGAGTTGAAACGGCTGATCTGCAATACCCTTCTCCTTTGGCCATAATGTCGCAAGGACTGTGCTTACTAATGAGAGAGGAATTTGCCACCTCATATTTGGATTTGAATCTTGGAGTTATAAAAAATCGATGGTGTAGTTATTATAGTTAATGGCTGGGGGTTATAGTACTTAACGATGAGTTTAGTAAATTAGTAGGAATTACAGATAGTTAAAGGTTTTTTACTGTCCCTGTTATCTTATCATAAAGGTAATGAATTCGCCTCTAGCTCCACCCGACTGGCATTAGAGTGAATTTTAAAATTAGAAATAGGTCTTCTAGTAAAAAGGTGGCTGGCTGAATGACTCTAGGTGGCCCAAAGAGGAATCTAATTAAGTTGAGCTAAGACCAGCTTTACTATCCCTAGATTATTTTATCGTAACGAGGCACGTGCAATCTCCCTTCCGGGCTTAGGGCCCTCGATAACTGCAAGCCGTATAAACCTTTATAGCTAGTCTTCTGAAATAGGTTAAAAGTCAAGACCGCGGATCACGCCTATTCGCTTATTTAGTTCCCCATGGCTAGAAGCCATCCCTGCGCTATTATACGTAGCGGGATTTATTTATAATCTAGATCTATTAGAACAAGCTATAAAAGAGATGGCCTGACTCTTACTGATCGTTTAACGGCTGGCTTGGAACATGCGTAATTCCTCTGCCACCATTAGTGAGATCCCTAACTGACGTATAATCATATAATCCCTAACTTTATCTGATGATAGTGTGAAGTATGGCTCTCTAGAAGTTCCGGCGCAAACATTGCACTTGAACGCAGTATAAACGGCTAATACAGGAACTGGTCGAACCTTCTCACGAGGGATCTCTAACTCTTGGAACTCACGAAGCTTGAATGTACTTAATCGTGCCCTCAATGCCTTGCAAGCGGGTCCAGTGATGCGGTGCAGTTTATTAAGGTGACTGTAGAACGACTTTTGCCCAGGTTGAATCATCGATTTGTATGCGATGCAGACAAGGATCTGATACTGACTTTCGTAGTAACGAGGTGGACAGCGACGGTATTGTTAGCGACGAGATAGAAATCCAGACCAGGCTCACCAAGAAGCGTCGAATAATACTTATCACCCGTACTCATGACCAGGAATAAGTACTCACAGACTCGAAAGAACGACAGGAAGCCGCTCAGGATCTTCCAGGCCAATGTCAGTAAGATCATTCCGGCCCACGACTGCGCTCTGGCGCTGGCCAACTCTAAGCGATACGACATCGTCTTTCTGCAAGAGCCATGGACGGCCCATACAGACAGCCGCCCCTTAACCAAAACCCACCCGGTATACGACACCTTGACACCTGTTAAGATGTAGGATAGTAACGACACTCGGCCAAGAGTCATAACATATATCCAAAGAGACCCGAAGCTCCTGGCTAATCAGATCAGGCCCTTTTAGACGTAAGATATCCTCTGGCTAGCGATCAACGGCATAACAATAGTTAACTTCTATAGTCAGAATGATGTACACAATGCCCTAGCGACACTACTACAGTGGCCTGTCCCAGGACGCTGCCTTGTTACTGGTAACTTTAATGCCAGACTTTGCAGCTAGTAGACAGGTCTTACTACTAACCGCGGCCAGGCATTGTAATTCCCAAAGAGGGGTAGCCTTAATGGTAACAAATTGACTATTATAAAAACTGCTGAAATTTAGAGAAAAATATAATATACTTTTTACCTAATTTAGAAGGCACTAGGCTTTAGTAGGCTTATAAAGCTTAAATAAGA